TACTCGTTAGTGAATTTCTGGTGTATGATTTATCTTTCATGAACTAAATCAACTGTTGACACGTGGCATAGCTCGATAAACTATGGGTTGTAGTGAAGCTCAAACGAAGGTATTTAGCGACGACAACTGTTATCAGTTGCTTTGAAACTTTATATCTAATTCCAGATGCTGGCTAATGAACCCTTTCAAGTTTTAAGGATATTTAAAGAACGGATTGGAGCCAGTTTTAAATGTCTTAAAAAGCTTGCGAATTGATAGGTTCCTCGAACCACGACTTTAGGATACAAAATGGCTTTGGCATGTGAGGCTGCGAGAGTCATTATACACTGTATTGATTTATCCTTTTTACGATGACACGAGACAAGGGACAAAAATAAAAAATAAAAAATAAAAAAATAAAAATCCATCATATAACTTTTTTAGGACTGCCAATGTCGACATGCCACTAATTGACACGAGTAGCGTGCTTGCTACAATTTTCATCATGTTAACTTTTTTTCTTTCCATTTTCCAGGTTGGTGATCCAAATATAGACCATAACTGCTGGGAAAGGTCAGAAGATATGGACACTGCTCGAACTGTGTACACGGTTGATGCTCCAAATCCGGCCTCTGATGTTGCTGGTGAGATTGCTGCTGCTTTGGCTGCTTCGTCCATCGCATTTAGGTCGTCTGATCCAGGTTACGCTGAGACACTACTGCAAACTTCCAAGAGGGTATTCGATTTTGCAGATAGTTATCGTGGGGCTTATAGTGATAATTTGAATATCAGGGATGGTGTCTGCCCATTTTACTGCGATTTTGATGGATATCAAGTAAGCATTCTTGTCACACATTTTTCTCTTAACGTAAATTGCATCATTAATAGGCATATCTAACTCTAGTTATCTGTTTGTGTATTGATCATATTTCAATTTAACAGGATGAATTACTGTGGGGAGCGGCTTGGCTAAGAAGAGCCTCTCAGGATGATTCTTACCTCAATTACCTACAAAACAATGGCAAAACCTTTGGTGCTGATGAGAATATTAATGAGTTCGGGTGGGACAACAAACATGCTGGTCTTAATGTTCTCATTTCTAAGGTATTTGAACCATATTATTGGTATTCAAACGCAATGTTTTGCGAAGTGGACTATACATAATAAACATTACTCGTTCTCAAAAGTGACTTGAATACTGTTGCAGGAAGTCTTGGAAGGGAGCGTGTACTCTCTTCAGTCATACAAAACATCAGCGGATAGCTTCATGTGCACGCTCATACCTGAGTCTTCGTCCTCCCACGTAGAGTTCACTCCAGGTGGTCTCATATATAGGCCTGATGGAAGCAACCTACAACATGCAACTGCCATATCTTTTCTCTTGCTCGTTTATGCCAATTATATAGAAAGGTCGTCTCAGACTATAAATTGCAGTAGCATTACTGTTAGTCCGACAATGCTCCGCGAAATAGCCAAGAGACAAGTTGATTACATTCTTGGCGATAATCCTAAAGGATTGTCCTACATGGTTGGGTATAGTAATTACTACCCACAAAGGATACATCATCGCGGTTCGTCACTTCCTTCCATCAGAGATCATCCCGAATTCATAGGGTGCAAGGAAGGTTCGATTTACTTTAACACATCGAACCCTAATCCGAATGTAATAGTCGGGGCCGTGGTGGGTGGACCTGGAGAAGACGATGCTTATGAGGATGATCGAGTTGATTTTCGAAAGTCTGAGCCTACAACTTATATCAATGCACCATTTGTTGGTGTACTTGCATATTTTGTGGGCACTCCTAACTTTAAATAGGATTAGAAAACTTCACAATTTGTGTTGGTTAGGTGAAAAAGAATGCCTCTCATCTTATGTTAAGCAAAGAATGAAGAGGCTGAAAGACCCAATTTAACCCCTAAAATCTCCATTTTGCTTCAGATTTTAGAGGGACAATTATGGAAAGTAATATTTTATATTTTCCATTATATTTGTGAGATTAGCAGATATAATAACGTGTCCATTTAAACAACTTGTGTGCTTTAGTCAGTGATTTGATTTCCTTTTCTGCTTATTGCAATTTTCGAACCCAAAGAAATTGATAAAGTAGATATTTTTAGTTGTCATTTGATCCAAAAATTGCAGTAATGGTAATGATATATCGCAATTTTCGAACCCAAAGAAATTGATAAAATAGATGTTTTTAGTTGTCATTTGATCCAAAAATTGCAGTAATGGTAATGATATATTCCAACAAGAGAGAACGTTTTGAGGGCCATCAAACTTAAAGTCTCAAAAATCTCTTTTTTGTCAGCCTTACCAATATAAAATCTGTAGATTCATTTCGTAATTTAGCTGGTAATACAATAAGTGGTGGACTCGAACATTTTGAGTTAGGAACACAATTAAACACGTAAAAAAATTGTGAAAAACATATATCATTCCAAACCCATTTCAAATCATTGTCACACAATGAAAACAAACTATAAATGCAATCAAACCCATTTTTACCCATCGCTTTGAATTTTGATAAAAGAAAATTAAAATTTAGAATTATAAATTACTATCGTCTACCTACTAGTCGCCTTTCAATTTTCAAAGGCTAAATAATTTAAGTTGACCGGCTTCTTTTATTTCTTTTTCCTTGTTTAGTCATTGAACCATGACGGATTAAATTTTTTGGTGAATATATAATAGAGCGGTTTTGAGTTTGAACTACAAAGGCCACCATGAATTATGTAGATGAATACATTTTTCTTTTTGTAAATGGGTAGCTGATGAAAGTGATCTTTTCAAGAACGGAAGGTATGATTTATAGATTTGTAAGTCCTAGCATCTAGCATAATCTTTCTTGGGTCGAGAAAAATTAAAGGAATGTAAGAGAATATACACCTAGTGACCTAGATTATATAGGATTTTCGATGAAGCCAACATTTCAAATGATGGGTGGTGTTACATTATACAATATTGAACAAATTTAGGTGTATCCCGCTTCATCTTAAATCTCCATTTCTTCTCCCAAAAAAAAAAGTCACCCCTTGTGTCCGCTAGTGAAATACAATATAACATTTTTATCGACATATAGGTTGACGGGCTTCCCTTTCAGCTAGAGCTTCATGGGTGTTAGCGTATTTACCTTTCTCAAATGCACTACTTAGAATTACTAAGTTGAAAACAGAGCGGGTAGACTATACACAAAAGTTACTCTGTTCAATTTCGTAAGATAATGACAATTGATAATTTGTGCCTAGATCATGTCAACGTCTAGTTCAATTTCCACTCAACCTTCCAACAAATTAAGACGGAATGATTTGACTTAAATTCACAATCTAGTTAAAATTAGGAAACAAGCTGAGGGACAAATGTTTATTAGAAGAGGGAACAATGATTTCACACATCACCTACTATGATGTGTTGACACTAATTGATGCATGATACTATTTGTACAAATCTACTACATCTGTATATATATATATATAGTTGTGTCAATGAGCCGAGCACAATCCGAGCCCAAAAAAAAAAGCTTGGGCTCGGCTCGAGCTTTTTTAGGCCCGAACTGAGCCAAGCAGAGCCCGAGCCCAAAAAATGAGGCTCGGCCCAAACTTTAGTGGGCTGAGCCGAGCCCGGACCAAGCTATTCGGGGGTTTTTTTTTTTAATATCAAATCTACATTTTTACTTGAAAATTTTAAAATTTGTACGGCTTATACATACTATAAATTAAATAAAAAAGCTCGGGCTCGGCTTAAGCATTTTTTGGCCGATCTTTTTTGGGCCCTAGCCGAGTCGAGCAAAGCCCTGCCAAAAAA